ATGGTGTATTACTTGAGATTAGTTCATCAAAAAAAGACATCATTACTTATTGATCACCTCGTATTATATGCAACTAAACTGTATGCTGAGTGTTTAGCTACAAGGGTATAACAAAATGCAGTATTGGACTTATGGAACAAAAATAGACATGACCTAAACCTGTATGAGCAAATGTTCCTGTGCCAAATGTTGTTGCTCTATATAAAGTACATTTATATATCTACGGAGTACAGTTCAATTTGCAGCCACGAGAAGATGTGAACAATAGAAATGCTTCCGGAGGGGGAGGTTGCTCTTCCATGGCTATGGGCCTGCAACCCCTGCGCTCAGGGTAGCTTAGAACCTGTGTAGATTACACACACATTTGTATGAGATTTTTAGCAAGGATACAGGACTATAAAGTTATAATAAGCTACAGAATCAGATGCTAAATAGTTACAAGGTACAAACATATCAAAAACATTGACAAAATTGAATGACACTTTTGATGTCTATCATATGATCGATATGTTATAAATAGAATGCTTCAGCCCACATGTTCAAGTACATAAAGTGCAAAACTAATATCATCACAAAATATGATTCATTTTGTTTTCATTTTGCCTAGTACACGATATCAACACATCATTATTTGATAATTAATTTCCGAGTTTGACATTTGAGCAAATAAGGTAACAAGGTCCTGAAAATAATCATGTTGATTGGTTGGAATATTTTTCTTCATATTTATAGATGTCAGCATTATACAGAACTTTATTCGACATCAATGTTCTAACTCACTCAACATAATCATGTGTCCTCCTACTTTACTCTACTTTTAATGGTGTAGGAGGGGGAGGGGGTGGGGGGGGGGCAGATAAAAACACAGTAAATACTATTGTTACTGGCAAACACCTGTGTAACTGTCAAACCTAAGTTGAAAGCCGCTGTAAGGCTGGTTAAATGGAAGGATGATATCAGCAAGACACTTCAGGAACATTGCGATATCTACAATTCTACATCTCCAACTCATTCAAAAGAGAAGTAGTTGTTGTTCTCTTTATATAGCTTAGAGAGACTGAAAACATCTGGTTATTCAAAAGTCTTGCATCAAGCCATTGTACTTCTCCTTATACACCCCCTATACTGTATAAGAGAACATACAATTGGGATAAGACAAAGCATTAACATGCAAAATGGCACTACCTGCCATTTGTTGGCTGAACACCGAATACCAACCAATGAATACCCACCGCCAAACACAAACCACAGTCCACAAAAAAGATAAAGACTGTAACAATATGTCTCCACTTCTGATGCAAGACTATTAAAAAGTTAAGGTATTCACTATCTAACAAATACAGGGTTTTCTATACATGACAAAGATATACAAAACAAAGATTTCTAAAACTTGTTATAAAACAGTAAAACAAATAATCAACTCACATGTGGGATTTTCCGTTTCTTCATTATCATTAGCATCAGTCGCTATTTTGTATTTTCCTTTTGATTTTCCCGATCCTTTACGAAGTAAATTCTTCCGTTTCACACCTGGGCTGGCTTGGGGATCATTGGCAATTTTATATTTCCCAGATTTTGGCGAGCCTTTTCGTAAATAATTCATTTTGAGCACTTACTCACTTGAAATATATCATCAGTTCTTTGAACTCGGAATTTTTGGTATCACAAAATTTAGATTTCTGAGTTCTGTAGCAGTAATCCAGCTAGTTATATATTTTCTTTGAGAGAGTTTACCTGGAGAATTTCGATAATTTATTCCATGTTTTGATATTTCCTAGAATCACTTGATAAATTACATATACAACGCAGGAGTTAATCAAATTCAGGCCATCAATAATTTACCAAACTGGTATACTTTTTCTTCTTGATGAAAATCACCATCAATCTCTCAAACTAATGAGCTCTGAAAGTAATTGTCCTGATATGGTATCCTAGATCCTTATTTTAGTTGAATATCCTGGAAATTGAGGTGTTTTCTCTGGTTTATAACAAAGGTCCACTGTTTGAATGTAACATGTGTTATGAAGCTCAGCTTCTATGCTCATAATGTATGTGTGTACAATATTCATGTCAAAATAGGTCATGAATGTGTATACTGTATTTATTCTCAATTTTCAATGTTTACCAACTACTTGCGAAAGTCAGTTTTTCAAATATTTTTCAAGTCGGAACATTTTTCAATGATAACGTGAAGTAATCCTCTCTAAATCCAACTTTGATGCTCTTGAAATATATAACACAGAACTCAATTCCAAGTATGTTATCATTTACTGAACTATCGAAAGATACATCACATGATTCAATCCTATTTTTCCATTTTTAAGTCATTTTCAACTTCTGAAGTTCATTCAACACTTCATAATCCACACATTATCACCATTTCGCAGAATAAATCCGAAAGATCACGAAGAACGATTGCGAAAGTTTTTCCAGGATTCTCCGAGCCTTCTACTTAATTTCAGTGATTAAGACATTGAGAGAACGGCATGTTTCTATTTAGACAAGATTCTCGATTCCAAGGATGCAGCAAAATGTTACTTAGATTGGCCTCAAAATAGCAGGTTCTTAGTATGATTCCCAAAACTAAAAATCCACAGTGGTCACATTTTAAAATTCAAAATTGAGTAGAAAAGAGTGGAATTAGCAAGGAATTAAATAAACAGGCATGAGCCCAATACTCTAAAATGTATAGAAATGCGAGAAAATTAGAAAGTTTATTCAAATTTTTAAGAGAAAATGTGTGAATAAGCATGAGCAGACGGACATTTTTGGAGATATTGCTAATCAGATCGGCCAAAAAACTAGTGAGGAGCTAAGGTGAGGTTTCCCCAAACAAAAAAGTCTCAATTTCCATACTTTTTTCAAACCTGTTCTCTTGAAGTCTGATATTAATTATTTCTAGATAACTTTTAAGTATAATAATTTCATTCCTTCGTAAATCCTTTTCCTCTATACTCAATTCTGTTCAAAAAGACAAGACCACCATAGCATTATATTTACGAGTAAACAGGTATAGCTTCCTAATTACAAGTACACCTTACAGTTCAAATAGTTCTTCGAAGAAGTTGTATTTTTCTCAAGTATTCTTTGTAAGAAGTTAGCTGCGTCTAAGCCTTCAAATATTTCCTACTTGGAAGAATATGCACATACATACTATATATGTATCAAAATTAAAACTTTAATATTTCATGTTAACTCATTCCATATGTGTTCCAGATGCTGCTACCAAGAAATCGTTTTTGTTCAATTATGATCCAAAATCTCAGCGATCTTTGAAATCGAGCTCTTATGATTATAATCCAGTATGTTGCTATGACAACAGAAGTGTTTTCCTCTTGTCTCCCAAACTCCAACCCTGACTGAATTAAAAGGTGTGCCCAAAATAAACCAACAACACAAATTATACAAGCAACAATATCACCAAGAGAGCAGGTAAAAAATATAACACAGTTATGTTTTGAAATTCAAATTAGAGTAAAAAATTATGGAATTAACAGGAAATAAAGTACATAGGCATGTAGAGAACACTCTAAATTGTATAGAAATGCTAAAAAATCAGACACTTCATTCAAATTTTAGAGAGAAATTGAGTAGAAAAAGCATAAGCAGCCGGACATTTTCAGCACAAGAGTCTTCTGCAAGGTCAGGGAATATGTAAGGTTCAGTGAAAATCCTGAACAAGGAATGATAAATGAGAAACTTCTGTTGGTCTAGAAAAAATATTGCTACAAGTGGGAATCAACGAAGGTGATTCAGAATTTGAATGTTCTAGAAAAAAAATCAGGCCATTTTTCAAGGTAGTGTACTTGATGAATGAGCTTCTCTCAAAGAACTTAACGCCATCTTTCTAACATCTCATTTTCGATGTGAATGAATAGATTTGTAACAAAATAGCAAAATGAGGTTCATGTCTTAACAATCCTTCAATATTAACTGTATTCCGAGTCTCACAGTCTACTCTCAAACTCTGTTCAAAATTGAGTGTTAATTGAGGGTTAAAGGATCTGAATATTCAAAAGCTAACATTTACCTTGAAAAATAAACAAGAACACCTCATATCAGTAAAGAACAAAATTTAATCAATCAGAATAACTTAATAGCTTCTTCCAAAACCAAAAAAAGTTACCAACTAGTGATTTATATTCTCCTTCAGGTTTCAACAAATCCTGTTTCAACACAAGTAGTCGATAACCTTTACATTTGTATTTTAAACGCTTATCAATATTTCAAAAGCAAATATTGTATAATTTATCACACATGTTATGATTTAGGAGATAACACTCAATGTGGGACATGTGATATGATAACAACTTTATACCTGTGGGTGTGTATGACTCAGTTATGATACACTTCCCTTTGGATTTGATATCCCCTGGAGGATAAATATGATATCCTTAATATTATAACATCCTTTTTGAAGACTTACTATTCCAATAGATTTTTTTGTAATATTTATCCCTAATACAGTGCTGTAACAAGAAATGAATCTTTGTACCTTAGTCTAGCTACAAGCCCTTGTGACCCCCCCCCCCCCCTACTTGACTACACACCTTCTTCCATAGAAGTTTTAGTAGTGGGGGAGGATTACAAGGGATAGTAGCTAGACTTTGTATGGTTCAATATATCTTAAATGAGGTCATATAAACTCCATATTTCCTGTTCCTACTGTTTTTGCTATCTGGACTACTCTACATCACTTACTCAGTCTGACACAAAGTCATTAGAAACGGCTCACATTCTTAAGAGTCGTGCCTTATACTGTTTGTATTCAACACACAACCTTGTACTTCAGCATGCATCATAGAGAACAGAAACACAGTGACATCTTTTAATACAACACTAAATATTTTCACATTTTGTCACTTATCAAAACCCTTCCTAAAATATAAAACCTTTCTCAACAACTGACATCACACATGATCAAAGGTATTCACATAATAAAGGGAGGTGTTCCCATTGGCAGATTTTATCATTTGTTGTGTATAAAATATTCTACTTACATTTGATGAGCTTTACAACTTCTGTATGATTGGAGTTAGTCACCAAAGTCCCATTAACCTGAAAGAAGACAAAAACACATCACAAATATGAACAAAGGGGATTACAAATCCTGGATGATCAAAATCATGAGTTTGAGCAGTGTAAGAAGTGGATAGGATGTCATCCTCCGAACACAGGCCTCCAGAACTTGTACCTTGTTCTTCCAGAAGAAGGAAGGAATATAGTGGATGATGTCTAGGGCCCTGCATTCAGAGGAAGGAAGCGAGGTCCTATCAGAATCCGATTCCTCTTTCCCCTTTCCCCATCCCAAGCTCAATGTCAAACTGAACCAACATTTCTTAAAAACATCTGAAAACATCTACAACCTCAAGGTTAAGTTGTAGCAACTGAAACCTTGTGATTCAAGATGTGAAATCACCTATATACCTGTATCTAACTTAAAGGTTTGATTATCTTTCACATGAAATTCACATAAATGAATGCTTTATCTCAACGTTACCTAATCATGAACATCTAGTACCTACTACACCTAGTTACTCTACTTCAGAAAATGTGCCTTTTCCTCAAAGTGTCTCGCCAAAATTCATACCTGAGACAATTAGAAATTGTTTCAGAGAACACTTGAAGGTTGATGTGTGTGCTATCTATTCATCCTACATATATAAACCCTTTTTTGAATTTTCAATCTGATCAAGCTTTTTCTGTTTAGTTTGAACAAATTCTCCAATTTTCATGCATTTCTTTGTAAATAAGAGTATGAACCCCAACTCTGTGCCTGTTTAGTTTATTCCTTACTGCTAGCCCAATGTTTTTTTTTCTTGATTTCAGTTTTAAAAATGACCAAAAGGATCCTATCTACAGACACACAAATATGATGGCTACCCTGCATCATCATGATAAACCATGCCATCTCAAATCTTCAGGTGAAACAGAAAGATGCTATGAGTATCAGAATGACCCTGCATTGCTAAATATTCATATAGTCCTCAAAAATTTAAACCAATTGATTTCATGTATTCAGTGATATCTTATGACTTAAAATATCATATCTTACCTTATAAAATCATATCCAGACTAGATGAATTTCTGATACAAGCATAAATGCAGTATTAAACTCTCCATATATGCAACTGTTAAAACAAAATCTTAAACCGAAGTATAAGACCAAATAAAACCAGGGCACTTGCAAGGCACCAATAAAATTATGAGTTAACGTTTACATACCAGATTTAAAGATCTCCCCTAAATAATAAGTTCATAATAAGGTCACATATATTACACTCAATTCCACGAAAATCCAGAAGATCAACAGTTCTGAAACTTTCCAACAATTTAATTCATCCACTGAGTCTACCTATCCTCTCAATTCCTAGCTAATTCTCTCTTATTCGCCCTGTTTTACCAAATATCCCCGATAACCCTGATTTTTTAGTAGGCATTTTAGATCGGTTTTATAAAGCCTAGATATTTACACATCCTTTTGGCATTTGTTTTATCTGCCTCCCATCAAAGAAGATATGTTTATAGCCTTGTTCAACATAGGAACCTGGCAAACTGAGACCACAAACACCGAACATAGTTAGGCTTACATCCCCATCAATGTTTAATCTCCTCTCTCATTATGCCTCACATATTTTCTCTCTAAAATTTGAATGACAAGACCATATTTTGATATTTCTGTAAAGTAATTATTTGTCAAGGGAGTGAACTATATCCCTATACCTTATAACAAAGGTTCTGGAAGAAGGATGGGTGTATCCTATTTGATCCAGATCTTTTTGTGTTAGGTATTTTATTCCTCGCTGACCTAGAAGTCACATTTTGAATTTCTAATGACATAAAAATCAAGATTATTTCTACTCGTATCTAGTCAATTAACCAATTAAAATGCATAACTTCAAATATTGCTGCAACTTTTTGATCAACCAAATCATATTAACCTACCTGAACTTAGATGAATATCCATAAAGTATCAATGACGAGTTAATGAAAAAATACCTTAGCGTATAAAGCCACGACGAAGGTCATACAGATGTCACATTTTTGCATCGTCAACTTCGATAAAGTGACATTCTTACATTTTTTATGATAACTTATCTCACTTTGAAAGAGAGATCATAGCTTTCTATCAGTTTCTTTCTTGTTGGAAAATAAATGGTTGTGATAAATATCAGAATGAAATTACAATAAGTCAAGACAAACAAGGCATTAAAATGCAAAATGTCAACACCTGCCATTTGTTACACATACTGAATGCAGAGCATAAACCACCAAACACTTATCTAAACACCAACCACAGCCCATAAAAAAAACTATAACAATATGTCACCACCAATGTCACCACTTCTGGTGGTGACATTAAATCAATGAAAATTCTTGCCAGTCATTTCATTTGAAAACTTAGTCTTACTTCAATCCCTTGTGACCCAGCCCCTCCCCCCCTTTTAAGTCGAGCCCCCCCCCTATATATCCAAGTGAAGTAAGTTAGGAAGGGGGTCTAAAACTTGATGCATCACTTACCAAAATGCAATATCAATTTTTACATCTACTGTAGCAGTTCTTCAATATTCTTTAAATTCATTCTTATCGAAATATCCATATGCTCAAATCATGTTTATTCCTCTTGATTTCTCTATAAAGTTTTCATTAACTACCAGATTTTCTTGCATTTCTATACAATTTAGAGTATCCCCTACATGCCTCTTTACTTTATTCCTTGCTGATTCCAGTAATTTCCACTCTATTTTTCATTTAAAAACATGACCATCATGACATTTTCTCTTGAATATTGTACCTAATTTAGCATGACCATACACTTGATATATACCTGAACAAAAATATCAGTTGATCAAAGATTTACCTAAACATACCTTGATAACAACTTGGCATTTAACATATTATATCATCAACACTGTAATATGGGGTGAAATCAAAAATATTTTGCATGTGCATGAGATTGTGTGTTTTTTGTCATTTTTATGCAAAATATTGTTAAGACAATAGAATGTGGAAACATTGATACACTTATATAACTTTGGATCAGACAAAATATTTACAAATGGCATTCACTGCCATGAAACTTTTTCCCATTTTTATACTTTCCCTAGGTAACTTGAAATCTTAATGAAGCAAACAGACACCATGTTATGTATGGGAACACCCTGCCCTGAGTGGTAATACAGTTTGATGAGCAGGTATTTTATATGAGTGAATTAACTATTCATAAGCAAAAATTCAAGAAGTTGTAACAATTTGTTCAGAAATATGCCAAGGTCACAGTGGGTGAATTTACAAAAAATTGCATTTTCAAATTTTGGGGAATAGAAATGAGATTTTGAAAATAGGCTTGCACCCACCTGAAATTCTGTTTGCACCCACTTGAAAATAAAATTTAAAAAAAACATGAAAAATTGGCATATTTTTGTCTGAACTGTGAAAATGAGAATTTTGCACCCACGTAAGAAAAAATCCTGAGGATATCACTCAGACTAATGAATTTTACTGAAATATGTAGAACTCAAGGGTCATTCAATCGTTAGAAGAGAAATGGGCAAAAAACTGAATATAGCAGATTGACATTTTAAGCATTGACCTAGTACTAGCTGAAGTGATGGAAATATGTTGTTAGTGATAAACAATACATACAACTGGTAAATAACTACATTTGTAAGACACTCGCCCTTAGAAAAATATCTACAATATCCCTTTTTCATTAAAGAATAATCCAAAATAGAGAAAAACAAACTGGGAATAATAAATATTGATATTATCACAACCTGAATTTGATAAAACTGAAGACATCAAATACAGATCCTTCTTAAAATATGTCAAATTACCATGATAAGATGACGTCATTTTGGTGGAGTTACAAGTTACAGCACACTGGTTTGATTGCAGAGTATGTACTCCACCCTACTCTCCTACAAGAAAATGCAATGGCCGTCATGTTTTAAAATGTAAGGTACAGTGAAAGAGAATGGGATCCGCAAGGAATAAAATACACAAACATGTAGTGAAAGACTCCAAATTAAATGAAAATGACAGAAAATCAGTTACTTCATTTAAATTTTACAGACATCAGGTGGAATAGAAAGGACCATCAACTGACATTTAAGTTAGTACAAGGTCACAATATACTTTACACAGACTATCTCTGATTTTGAAAACACAAGAATTCTTATATATAAGGAAAACGTTAAAGTCACAGGATCATTCAAAATCTGAACCCTTCACAAGAGATCAAGTTTGTCTTCACTCTTAGATTTGATTTGTTGTCCTTTCCTTCATGGAATCAGAATATAGAGTTATGAAAATCACCGTGACTTGACATTCATTCTACAAAAAGCCGCATTTGAATTGAGATCATTGAGACCATATAAGCATCAACATTCACCTTCACTAGTCATGGGGAAATTTGGCTAAAGCACATTTCGTTATTTTATTTTCAGCTTTACTATTAAATGTATTTATGTTAGATAATGGAATGGGATAATTGGGGTTTGTTTTCCCTATTAGCCTTGTAGACGTTTTTCTTTTTCTTGGTGTGTTCTGTAACAATATTTCCTTTCCCTTCGACATGTGTGCATACATATTTGGTGCAGCATTTCATTATGTAAGATGCATTACTTAGTACTTACACTGAGTTTGGATAATCCCCATATCCTGAACCTTCTATAGGATAACCTAGTTCTATCCTAACCTTTAAATTGAAATAACATTCATGATGTCCAAAAGACCAGATTTAAACACGTACCTCATGTTGTAGAGTTTTGCATTGTCTTTTCAATGTACTTGTCTAAAGTGTTTGACACTTATGTTTGAACTCAGTTAGAATTTAATCTCAATTTACAATATTGAATGTCTTAAAGATTTTGCCCAGTCACATGTTCAAAATGTCAAATCGGCTTGAGATTTTTTTGCAAAATCCTTCTTATAGTTTAAAGCAAGTTATGATATTTGGCATTTCCATGTAATTTAAAGTGTGGACTTTGTAGGTATTTACTTTATTCCTTGCTAATTCCACTCTTTTCCACTCTATTTTGCATTTTAAACCATGACCTCCTTGACATTTTTTCTCACGGGTGTTAAGTCACATGTTAACCAGTTGTCATCTGCGAAATCTTGCAAAAATATAAATGAACTATTTTGCAGCATTTTGAATCTGATAAAATCTCCACATTTGCAATGATGCAATTAAAAGTGCATTTTACGCATATTTCCTTTTCGGTATCTTTACATGATATTCTACATGAAGACAGATTCTTGAGCTGAACTTCAAAATTGTACACTTTTCAAGAGTTATTCTCATAGAAAACAATGTATTTTCTTACCATAAAACATTTGTAAAGCTCCTAGTTGTTATTGTCACTCAAACCTCATTGTTCCATGCAGGAGATTCAAAACTTTAAGCCAAAAGGTTTCCTTGTTTACAATGTCATAAAAGTTGGCTCCGGCTATGCTGACATTTTATGTTAATTTTATGACGGCTCATAATGCAACACTCTAAAACGTGAAATCTATGTGTGCAATATATGCCAAATCTGCATGATTTATTAGAATGATAAGGTTTCCTAGAAATGCAACATTCATTATACATGTATAATTCTAAAGTATACGGTTATATAAAAGTTATATAAAATTCCCAATGGTAAACTTACTTTCCAGTTATATAAAATCCCCGGGGTTAAAATAACTTTCTAGTAATGCACATTTCATATCCCCTCTCTCGAAAATCTCAAAATTTCCTGTTTTTTCAGTACAATTTCTAGGACCAACATCAATTTATTCCTTGCATATTCCATTCATATCTACTCCTATCTTATATCAAACACCTTAACAATGATAACACTGATCTTTATACAAGATCCCCCAAAAATATGCAAAACGAATCTCAACTTACCGATGACTCCTTCAAACATGCAGACCAACATAAAGTTCTGGATATTCAAGTTACGACTCAAACTGTAACAGTTGCAGGTTTGAAATTCCTCGAAGAAATATATTCAACAAATAAGATTAGCTTTAGCATGACTTGACCTAAACACCTTGAGTAAATAAATACACTTCAGAACTAAGAACTTACTTCTAAGTCTCCATTCCTCAGATATGAACAGCTATTGTAGAACATGCAATTTTGGCAAATATTTTTTTTAGATACTTGAAAAGTCAGCCAGGGTTTTTTCTCAGTAGAATTACATTTTAGATGAAGTATGATTTCCATCATGTCAATGCATTTATATATTTAAATCCAGGATATATTTATCTTTGGGATAAGATTTGTAGGTCAAAATTCCTTAGAATATCTGAAAGGTTTGAGTATGGTATTATCTCCATTTGCTAACTTTATCTCTTGTTCTAACGCGTACCCAGGATGTATGGACTTGAGTGACATCTATTTAAATAATATTTTTATTAATTATTTCAACATCAATTTTCAAAAAAGAACAAACTAATTTCAATATTTAGTTTGAAGTAAATAAACCTATGAATTCATTTTTTGTCAAAGGTAGAATGCATATACTAGAATCTGCCCACCCAGAATGGGCATGTAACCTTAAGAAGGATATATTTCTGAAGTTCATAAACCATAGTATAATCCCCATATCTTGACCCTGCTACAGGTTAAGCTATACTGTATCTTACCCTCAGGATGAACCTACCTACTTCAACCTACTCTAATATTCATAAGTGGACCCACCATATGTGAGAAATAAGTCATAGAGGCCATTACCAGCTGATAATGCACGTAACATATTAGACCCATCACATAGTACAATCTTTATCACAACCTGCCCTGTTGCAAACAAATCCAGAACTATACCCATGTTTATGGGGGGGGGTGAGTGTCATCTCTACTAATGGTAAAATTTTACGAGGCAACTTGTCAGACTCAAGACAATGTTCATTAAAACCTCCCCTGATGGTTCTGCCCCTCCCACTTTAATGCGGAGGATGGGCTGCCCCAATCCCTCTAGATGGTCCAAATTTAGTAGAGACAATTTATGAGGTTCCAAACAGTGTTCATTAAAACCTCCCCTGATGGTTCTGCCCCTCCCACTTTAATGGTGAGGATAGGGTGCCACCATCCCTCTAGATGGTCCAAATTTAGTAGAGACAATTTATGAGGTTCCAAACAGTGTTTATTAAAACCTACCTTGATGATTCTGTCCCCTTGTTGCACTCCGACCTTTGCAGCTGCGCCATCTATAATATAAACACATCATAAGATGCTGCATATATTCAAAATTGAGAATTCAAAACATAATTGCTGAGAGCCAGAAGTATTTTATAGCCAAAAGTTCATGACTTTCAGAGAAAAATATATTTGGAATTTTTCAATATATTTAAAAAAAATATCCAATGTCTTTTCTCCCAATTTACACAATAGGTAAAAAGACTGCTCAGTATAAACTTATTGATATTGAGATTATTTCTTCTCATTTTTCAATTCATTTTCCAGAGTATTATAAGGTCTGAACATTATAGTTCTCATAAGCTTGTATATGTTTCCTTATCCAACTATCATTAACCTCTTGAATCCCAGGCTCTAAAATCGGTTGAAACCAGAGATTTTTTCATTTTTGCCACCTTTTGACATTATACTACATACATATACAACTTCAGATGCTAAACTTAGTAAAATTAGATGGCAGATATCATTTCTACACATTTTAAAACAATTTTTGTGTTAATTGGATGAAAATTGTTCAAATAAGAGCAATTTTATGGAAACATTTTGTGACAGATTTTCTCGTCACTCTGGGTTTCAAGGTCATTTCCGAGAAATATCGTCACTCTAGGTAGTCAAGAGGTTAAGAGGGAGAATATAAAAAATGGTTGCTTACTTTCTTTGACTGATTGCACATATACTGGATTGTCACCACTGACTGTTAGTCCATAACCCCGTTCATCTCTCTGTATTAGGACGTATCTCTGGATCAACGCTTGCCCTAAACACAGAAATATAACATTTAAAATTGTTAGTCCATTGCCCCGCTCATCTCTCTGTATTAGGACGTATCTCTAGATCAATGCTTGCTCTAAACACAGAAATATAACATTTAAAATTGTTAGTCCATAGCCCCTCTCATCTCTCTGTATTAGGACGTATCTCTAGATCAATGCTTGCTCTAAACACAGAAAAGAGCCCCAAGATCAAATGACTTAATATTAAATGAACCTCTTTAGTGGAACACCTCCCAAGTGGAACACTTTTTAGAGGTACCAAATGTGTAATCATTTAGACAGGTTTTACTGTGTTCAAGTGAGACAAATTAATATCCTAAAATTTCGTCAGATGAGGGGAAGAGGAGAAACTGAACCATAACAAAGTTAACTTTGTTTTTCCGTGACTTGATAATATTAGACTCCATCCCTTAAAACATCTGAAATTCTCACCTCTTGAATCAACTGTTGGAATAGACTCCTCTTCATCATCGTCCCCAAGTTTCTCTTCCGGCATTATGTCCTTCTTATCACGGTTTTCTTTGTCCTTTTTGGATGAACCATGTTCTAGTTTAGACAGTGACCCCAATCTGTAAATACAAGATCAAACAAAATAATATGAATGTAAAATGCAAATAAAAACAAGGCATAAACATGATAAAATCAATGGTTAACAATTTGTTCCAACCACCAAACTCTGACATCAACTAATATCCATACAAGTCAACCTGTTTTCAATTCCCTATCAAAATCTCCATAAAAAGCTAATATGGCCATATTTTCAAAAGTCAAAAAGCCAAGGTGAAGGTCACATCAAGAAAACCGGAATGTTAGTCAAACAGGCCAATAACATGACAAACGTAGCAACCTAGTTGCAGTTACAAAACTGTAACCATTTGTTACAAATGTCAAATGCCAGTCACAAAAAACATGGCTATAACAACATGCCACAACTTCTTAGTCAAGATGACACAAAGATTACCTCTATCATCACACACAAACAAGGTCAACGACCAGTCAGGTTACCCTGCATGAAAAACAATTAAATTGAACATACCAGGATAACAGAAAGCTTAGACAAATTAGACTCATGAATAGGCAACAGGCTTAAGTGTTAATAGACAGATTCAAGGAATAAATAAATAAATATCAGAACATCAGCCAGTCAATATGATTTGCTCTTACAAGGTTGAACATCCCAAAGCTTACAATTGCCAAAAAAGTTAATATAAGGAGGTGTTCACATTTCAAGATTTCTTAACATCCAAGTCTATAGCAGATTAAAAAGACCAAAAAGTGTTTATATTGAGAGGTGTTCATAGGTACTGCATAGGTATTTGAATACAAGTGGAACAGTTATTTAAAGTCCTATTGCTCATTGACTCCATGTAACTGAACTTCTGTAAGTGGAACACCTTGCAAGTGGAACCCTTTTTTGTGGTCACAAAGGCGTTCCACTTACACAGGTTCTAATATATACAGAGTTTTCTGTCTGTAGCTCATTCTAATCAAACAAGTTCACTGACATGAATTATAATATGGAAATATTAAAGATTGCTAAAATAAACCTAGGGATTAAGTTCATCCATGAGAAACAATGCTCTAATCAATCAGATCGTAGGATCATTTGTTAACTCTCTTAGTGCCGGTGCGACTTTTTGTTCGTTTGACGTCTCAGTGCCGGTGCGACTTTTAGGTCGTTTTTGAAGGAAAATTGTGTAAAACTCAAATATGTTCGTATTTCCAATTCAGAAGTGATTGAAAACACAATAAAACTATCTGATTACATACTTCAGTACTATACCTTATGTAAATGCCTCATATTGAGCCAATGGAATAGTGATAAGAGGAGAAATTAGAGTGAAACTCGACATATTCCACCACGTCTTGGAAACATTTTCAATATGGCGCCATTGGGGAAATCCCTGGGGAAATCCATTTGACATGTCATTTTGAAACGTATGATAATTGATTAATAATTGATAAAAACTTCAATAATGCTTGCAAACGAAAAATTTAACGATTATTTATAATCTTATTTGAAGTATTACTCAATTCTAAATGCATATTATTACAAAATGATATATATAGAGAAGTGTAACTAAAATGTATATATCTTGAGAATGATCGGTTCATAGATTTAACCTACTTTTCAAATGAAGATCATTCCCCGATCTTCATGTATGTTTAGCAGATTTTATTACTTATGAATGCATTCTGTATGCTATCAATAATACAAAGTAATCTGATTTGGAGCTATATTCATCAAGTACCTCGCGTGTGTCATTGCTGAAGCAGATCGGAAGTTTTCGTTTCACTTTCATTTTACAGCATACACTGCCACAAATCAGTCGTTTTTTGTTTTTGACAAAATCATGTGAGATTTTGATTTTGGAGTAAAAAAGACTTAAATTCAGACCTATCAAGGAAATACCTTGATGAAAATGTTGAAGAGGATGTCATGGATTCGATTTATTCAGAAATGATCACATCCAATGTTGTCAGTTCACCGGAAAAGGAGGTTTCCTGTACAATGAATTTTTTTACTGAATTTTCCCCAGTTGTTTACATTGATTCAGTACATGTCCATGTGAAATTGGGCCTTGTGGTGTATCCAATGGCATCTTTGATAGGTAAGCATGATATCTATATTCCTTGTAAAAACTGAAATCGTAACGACTATCCAAGTAGTTCATTGTTTATGTACTTTTACTCTCAGCAGACTACATGTACATAATCTTAGTGTACCAGAAGTACTGCATGATTTCAATGACATACAATGACAGAGCACTGTAATACCAATGGTTGCGGAATATCAGATAGAAATTCTTTTGATCACCACGGTAAGGTATTCTGTACTCATTCATTTATTATTGAATGCATTTGATTCTTTTCTAGGCATTCTAGGAAAATATGTATGTTGCGGCAAAGTAGCAAAATGTTGGTTTGTCAGCAAAGAAAGTAGGGGAAGGATGAGTGGACCGATGCTAACATACCCGAGAAAGCTTTCGCTGGACTCCTGCTGTATATTTGGTGTCATCAGAAAGACATACTGGATGCTAGTCCATAGATACCATGAACATTGGAAAGTAATGACCAGAAATAGATAAAGGAGGTACATATGTATGACTTGTTTTAACTTCCCAAATAACGAAATCAAGAATATATTTTTTCGCAGTTTTGAAATTTTGTGTCTATTTATTTTCACTAACTTTGAGTTTTTCTGAATTTCATGGCTTGTACTTTTTGTAGATTTGGGAACAAATTTTTCCAGTTTTTTTAATTTCTTTGATTAAAATCTTTTAGAACCCAACTTAAAATTAAGAAAACAGTACCATTCTACCTTTTTTCACCAAGCACTAGACTAAAATTTATATTGTGCGAAATTGAACTATTGGGATTTTGCGGCTACTGTATTCTCTCCAATGAGAGCATACTGTACTTCCCAAGATGAATCAGTTGAAATTGAATCAGTCGAAGGGATAGGTAGAAAAAATATCGCCAATAATCTTTTTACAAGATGTTATCACTGAGCTGAGGTTTACATACTGTACAGCTCCCATATATCTTTCTCTGAATTGGATTAATCATATACCATATTCAATAATAATCAAAACTATAATGCATTAAACTTTGTGTTTTCTTGAGATCATGAAAGTCGCATGTACTTTATTGATACTATGTGTTCATTTAATAGAATACAGTATTACAATTTGTGAATCTTCAAAAAATCATGAAAAGTGCAAAATATAATTGAACAGGAAATTTACAGAGAATACAGTATATCATGCTAGATTCCCGGGGCTAGATATTGTAATACAGTACATGTATTTTTTCCATGCAGATACTGTGCAAAGTATGAAGCAGCAAATACAGTATAATAACAATTATCATAAACATAGCCATCATTTTATTTGACAAAAAAATAAATGTCCAATGCACAAGATAAAGTTTGGTCGGACTATCAATTTCCTAAATCATTTCAGATAGCAAAATATATACAGTAAAACCTGTCTAATCCGAATGCCAGTAGGGCTGGCTAAAAGCTTTGAGATTTTGAGGTGGTTTCATCTGCAAGATTCTTGCTTTTGAAGAAATATAAATGCATAAAATCATTCTGAATTAATATTAATACTTTTATTGACAACATAGCTTTGTTCATGCCAGATAAACCAATTAAGATTGAGATCATTTGTTGTTTTTTCAAAAGTTTTGATAGCATAAGAAATCAGTGTTAAATTGAAAATACGTGAGCAGTTTTGCAAGAAATATGTGATATTTTGTGAAAAGTGTTTGTTTAGACAAGTTATTTTTCAAATATGAGTGTTCGCATTAGAGGTGTTCAGATTTCAAGGTTTTTTTTAACATAGGAATCAATGGGAGGAAAAAATTTGGACATCAAAAAATGTTTGGATTAGCCAGGTGTTCGGATGTACGGGTTTCACTGTATTCATTTTTAGTCCCCTCAAAAAAGCAGAAATCTGTTCTTGTTGAAAAAGGTTTTGTTTTGTTTTGTCAATATCTAACAAATAACTTGAACTATTTTTATTACGTATTCAAGAAATGGAGTTCAGATTCAAAGGATAAAGTGAGCTCATACAGAAAGCAGAAATTCACAGGACATCCATTTCAAAACTTTTATTGTTCACAGTGACGTCAATAATGACATGAATGCGAGCAGTTCATTTTATTATTAAAGTTACTGAACATAGGATCCAAAAGTAACCACAGCAAGTTAAAATTTTAGTCAAAGAGCAAATTTTATATTTCTTTGTGACATAATTTTTACAATTTTATACAAAAACTTTGAAAAAACAGTTGCCTGTCCTGCCTTATACTCATAGCTGACTATACTTGAAAGGAATATTTATTCATGTTTCAATTTTGTTTTCCAGAGATACATAGCTTAGTTATAACTGTCATGGGAGCAGTGCAGTAGAAAACATCAACCTGAAATGATACACACAAATATTAAAAGAACAAAGTAGGAGTCGATCTAGCATATTATATGACCACAATTTATGACTGCAGGTATGGCTATTTATGTAAAATCCCTAGTAATATTTTCTTATGAATGGCCCCATGTTTAATCATCCAAATATTATTTGTCATATTTTGCAAAAGTTGACTTTTTATGAAAACATTAAATTAAGATAAAAAGTGTCAATTGCATCACATTTGATAATAACAACAGGTAATAATACTTTTACAAATCGCCCTATGAGAATAAAAATGTCCCAACTCACATTTTTGTGAAATGGAGAAATCAATTTTTGAAAGTTTAGGCAGTTTTTCGTATCACTAACATTGAAAGATAAAAGCTGAACTATGTCCGTTTTGCTATGTATTTTCAATGGACACAAATTTCTCTAATAATTTTTTTTTCAAAAATAAATTCAATTCTTGGTTTAAAATTGTATTATAATAATTCTTAGTTACATGGTGTAATTCAAACGATTTGATTGGTTAAAGTGAAACATAGAACAAAGTTAAATTGTATATTTGAATTTTTTATGGAGTTCCAGTATGTTATAATACATGGGTTTAATAATCTTTTTTAATATTTGATCCAAAATCATATTTATACCCA